CGTTTTTACTTCTTATTAACCGACTGTCATTTGATAGGTTATAAATTAAACCAATTTCACAAGTCGTATCTGTTTTGCCTGTGAAAGTAATTGGTGAGTGATCTCTCCTTGTCCTTATCTCAACCCACGAGCCTTTTGTTATATTCTCTCTCCCCTGCCCAGCTGAGGAGGGCAGTGACAGAGCAGCTTTGGTGGGCACCTGCCCTCCAGCCAGGGTCAACGCACCACACTATTTTAGCTCACAGTTTATATAGAAAGGATGAAATAAGGTCTCAAAGCAGAGACTGCCTGTGCAGCACAGGTGGGGGCTTGTGATTTCAGTGTGTCCGAGCCACATGGTTTATACAGACAACATGTATTTGTGCCCACTGTATTTGCACACAAAGCACTGTTTCATCTCCACATTTACAGATTTACCCCCAGATTTTCTTTTTGCTATGTAACTATCCATCTTACCATGGATACAATACTATCAAATACACCTCTTAGCGTCATAGAACACCTTATTATTGAAGAAGGTATAATAATCAGATGTACAGAGGTTTGCTTCTCACTGTGTAAATATTTGCATTGATAACTATTTTTTTAATGTCATTACGACAAAACATTTTCTATACTCATATCTGCATGAATAACACAGGAGATGCCAAGCTCTTTCTATTCAATACTTGAGCTGTTTTCTTTCAAACATGTATGTTTTTCAGGAATATTTAACTCTCAAAACATTTTTTTTTTTCCAAATCAGAGCAAAAACACACGTTCCTGATATTTATGTAGAATAACAAAAGAAGAAATGTTACTCAAGACATGAAATTCAGTATTGGGTAGTATAAAATAAGGGTCCCTTTTCACTCTGTTTTCTCAAACTCTGTGTTAGTCTCAGCTGCCTTCACAAATGCTAATCAGAGCAGACACACAGGCCACGTAAGGTTATGTCTTGCTCACAGCGCAGTCAGTGGTCAGACTCCTACGGATCTTGGTGGTGAAGCTGTGAGCCCTCCAGCCCCCCAGCATGCCTAAACTGCCATTTTTCTCCCACCTGAAGCACTCACCTGTTCCTGCAGAACTTTAAGCATCGCTTGTGTATGTGTTTGCTCTTCCTTGGCTTGCTCCAGTTCGGATTTTTTGTTATTTAATTCTTCCTGTATGCTCAGCAATTGCTGCACAAACAAAAGAAGTTTCTGGTTAGCACCGCCTGGATCCAACGCAGTTTTAAATCTTCGGTTTGATAAATCCTCATTTCGAACAATGCTTTGCAGCCTGCTCCTACATTTCTTATTGTTGCATAATCTGCTGTGTCTAAATGGGCCAGAGGTAAATTATTTTCATCTGCATCTCCTTCTGCAGCAGTGCTCCACAAGTAAGGCATCTGTTAATGTGCGTTAAGCTATTTGTTAGATTAAAGTAGAAACTCCTGGTACAGTGTATCACCCACAGAGCGACTGTCACATTCATCTGAACCAAAATCGTATTTGTAGAAGTATATGCTGTGGTTTTAATAACACTAGGGTAAACACTATGGTACATAAATAATTTAAAAGCACAGCCCTTTAATATAATTAGTCATTGGCCCACAGCCATTTTCATTCTATGCAAAGCAATATTCTGGAAAGCTTTCACACCGAGTTGCCAAGAAGACAAAAGCTTTCCTTTTTTTTTTTTTTTTTGTCCTTGTGCTGTGATATTTTATTAGATCAGGAAGACTGACGCCCTACAATCAATATATCAGCCAGGAAGACTGCTGATCTGAGCTGTCAAAACAAAAAGCTATGACCAAACCCTGTTTTTTATGAAGAGAATTCTGGGATGTAGGGACATCTTCAAAAGCCCACATCCCCTGGTGTTGGTTAGCTTTAGGTTTTGCCTAGATTTGTTGTGACTGTCAAGAGCAGGTCAATAGATCTAATTAATTCTGAAATGATTACCTATTTTTCTATGGGTGTGATGAATGTTAGATTGCTGAAGAGCAGGAGGAGACAAACAGGAGATTAAAAAGGAGTTTATGGTGCTTTCCCTTAGTGATCAAAAAAGGAAACTCTGATTTTCTGGGGAAACATATTGCTTGTAAGGACACTCCCTTTTAAGGACTACTTGAATGAGGAATTGCTTTACTAACTTACATTACTGATCTAGCCATGTATCTAAACATCTAAAGCTTAGTGTACGCTTGTGCGTAGGACTGGCGACTTTAACTCAAGCAGATGCTGCAGGTGTTCAACATCTTGCTAAGTTACCGGTGGCAAACCTAGAAATCATCCCTAGCCTTGTTCCACTGCACTGGAAGTCCCAGGCATCAAAGGACTTGGCGGCAGTATTGTTTTCAGAGCTGCTTGGAAACTGATGACGTTTCAGGGACTGATGGAGGTATTGGTAGTGTATTTCTGTTGCAAGGAAGCAAAAATATGATGGATTAATTCAGCCACTGAAGTAAAAATACATGTGGGTATATGTCTGGTTATATCTCACACACTCTAAAGTACAGCTGGGTTAGGATTTTGATGGATCTCCCCTCCTGGACTACTCCCTGGGAGCTTCCAAGAGACATTCAGGTATGTGTATTCACTCTACCACAACACAAGAGCATTTCAAATCACAAGATTTTACATGAAATAACAAGGTCTGTCCCACTGAGGCTCTTGTCCCATCAACTTTTTTTTTTTTTGTGGGAAGCTCTACTTCTGGCATTTCCTGACTGGGGATGGATTGACATCTCAGGTCTATGTTCACCTTGCCTGCTGGGTACTACTCCCTACATTTTCAGAAGATACATTGAATTTGTATATACTGTCATATGTCACACACTAATACCCACGAAGGTCCTTAGTGCAGTTATAGCTTTCCAGACATTTCATAACATTTTAGCCCAGAAGGAACCATTTGGTCACCTCATGTAACCTCCTGTTATTACAGACCATTAAGCTTCACCCGAGATAGCTCTAGCTGATGTCTGCAATTTAGTAAGGATGGACTAAAGAAAGACTAAGGGAGGGGTTAAGAAAGGACTTCAAACCTCAGACGAGAATCAGAGCATACAAGACACTGGAAAGATAGCATAAGCCCTTTCAAGGGTCACTAGCTGAGACACCTGAGGTTTGGTAAACAGATGAGACTTCTAATAGGGGCTGGTGAAATGTCCTCTTCTTCTCAGGTACAACCTGTTTGACCTTACACACCCAAACATGGCAAGGGTTGTTAAGAGAAAGGAGTGACATTCTCATACAATCTCTTCACATTGTCGAGCCTTCTTTGGGTGTTTATGTCTCACCAGCATGGCCAGCCTCTGAGGATTCAAAGGGAAGAGCCAAAATGAATGAAAAGACCCTCATACAATGTCAGAAATGCATCTAGCCAATTACGTACTGGGGGAGGGAAGACCTTCTTTGCATCTCCAGGAAATCAGCTGCAACCTTGAAGCATGGGATTCGATTATAATAATTGTGTCAGTGCAGTGCTACAAGTACTAGGGAGCCTAAGGAGAACCTCACAACAGATCTTGTTTGGTCCACAGCCTCTAAAAAGAAGTGAATAGCTATGCATATCCAAGGAGAACATCACCACCATCCAGACTGCACGTTCATCCTTGTTCAGAGATTTTACTCCAGCTTCTGGGACAAACCCTAGAGACCATCCTTCTAAACAATATAAACACCCATCTGGAAGATCCCAAGTGAGTTTTCAGTCCATCTCTGCCCCTCAAAAGCCTTTTCACTACTGAATGACTTTTACAAATGGGAAACTAAGTTTCACTTGCAGGTTGAAGTTGTTACACTTCACCAGAACTGAAATCTCTTTCCCCATCTTACCCACCCCTTCCACATGGTTCTTCCATGGCCAAGTTCTACATACCGCAGATCAGAAACTTCCAGTTTTATTTTTACATCTCCCACAGTGATTTAGTCTAATCACATCCCTCTTCCTTTGATCATGACTTTTTCTGTTTTGTGTTTGAGGCAATTTTTCCAGAACTGACCGAGCATGGGAGGAAATGGTGTGGAAGACACTCCCTGAGAGCACAAGGGAGACAGATCTTCTTTGCTCTATGTCTTGGAACTTGGCTCTGGACCAGCCAGAAAGAGGAATCCCAGGAAAACATCCCATGTGCTCAGTTTCCCTGGGGTAAGAGAGTGTATTCTGGTTGCTGTATGAGCTGTGAAGCACTTGGTATGAGATAAAACCTTCCAGCAGTCTTAATGGTTAAACTGCCAGCTACTGCAGCCTTACTGTGTGTGCATAGGCTCCTATTTTTAAAGACAGCAAATGGGTCTTATTTTCACCGGGATGGAAAATAGAGTATCTGTAACTGAGGTACCATATTCCCACTCACACATAAGGCTTTTCATTCACAGAACTGGGACCTTCCCATCCAACCCCCAAAGACGTCAGAATTGTTTAAAACTTGTGGCCATCCCATGGGGGCTTAATCTTCTTTCTTTTCCTCTCCCTCATATTTATCTCTAAAAGCTGCAGAACCTGCTCATTTTGCATGGGTCATGTTCTGAGATTTCTTTTTCCTGAGCAGTTGATGCTACTACCAGGAAGTTGTAACAGGGAGTTATACCTGCCAAAAAGCATATTTTTTCCCTTCTAGTCTCATTTTGGAAAATGAAGAAATAGCATTGACTGAAAAAAATATCAGCCTTAGACAGCCAAACAGCATGAAAAAAATTCAGCACAAACATGTGATCTTTAGCAAAATTAGAAGTAAATGGGAAGAGTATCTTATACTGGCAGGAACGAGGCAAGTTTCATAACAGGGACTGCTGTCACGCCTGCTTATTAACAGAGCCTCTCCATAAAGATTGTAATGAATGATGCCAAGATAATGTTATTTAATTATTCAAAATTATTTTCTTTTTCATGTAAATGTGCTTATTAAAAATTGATCCTATAGATATTTCTTCTGCCCTTCAGATTGCTGTAAGCATACACCACGATCAATTAAAATAAAAAATTGTTCTTGGTTTTAATGTTTGTGTTGTCTGATACTGTTCCACCTATTTCGCCATCTCATCCAGTGTTTCTGCTACAGCCCCCTCCCATGCCCACCTACCCACACAGCATTTGCTGCTCTGCTTCCCACCTGTTATATCCTGCTGGATTGTCTCACAGCTACTGTCAGTGCAGCTGTCAAAGTGTCCCTTCCTTTAACCTTATCTCACCTCTCCGGCCATTCCCTTTAATCCCTCATGTCCCCAACTTTGTGGCACAGCCATAGCGTTCAGACAGCAGTTTCCTCAGGCAGAAGAGTGACTTCTTGGTTACAGGGCCAGGAAGTACCTCGTTCATTCTTCTATTGTCTTCCAGTGGTCCTCAGTGTGCAATTCTCTGAGGTTCCCTTGCAAGTTATGCAAGGGCCTTTTACCTGAGCCAAAATCCCAGTGTCAGGAATCAGAAAAGCATCCCTTGGTGCTCATTGCAGTTCTGAGGATCCTGGAGACACCTGCACAGCCTAGAGCTCCACCAGCACCAGTCTGGAAGCTCAGCTGGTCTACATGCAACCAAAAACTGTTTGTCACCAAGCCTGCCAGGTTGACCCTAAGAGATGAAGCCAAGTAGTAGGTCCAGACCAGACACCACTGATATCCTCTAACTGGCATTTCCAGAGAGGAGACAGGAAAGGAGAAAGAATTAACCTACAGGCTGTCTCTCCAGGAATCAATCAGTGCATTTTACACAAGACATGCAAGACAGATTGCTTGTTTCCAGTGGCAGCTCTGGAGCTGCTCTGTATAGAAGTGGTAAATATCACTCTCAAGTGTTAAGCTTCCTTCATTCATGAGCACCAAATCGTCCCTGTACAAAAGCGGGTGGCTAATTTCTTTATATGGGGGGGAAGGGTGTGTGTGTTTTATTTTGTTTGGGTTTTTTTTGGTTTTTTTCTTTTCACACATTCCCACCTCCAGTGCTGAATCTCTGTCAGAGACAGTTCAGTACCGCCCATATTGCGTAGATCTCAAAAGTGCAGACAGAAAATTACCATCTTAAACCAATCTTTGCAGCTTCTGAAACATTAAATATAGATGGCATTATTGAAGCCAGCTGAATTACTCAGGCTGTGTACAATGCGGTGCCAGCGTGGCCAAGAATGCTAACAACCGAACAACACACAGTGCCTCGAAATATATGAGAAGCCCTAAAGGGAACGTAATAGCCTGCTGTT